TCTCTGTGATTCTTGGTGACTGATGGGAGGGTAAGTCACTCTCCAGTGGCCTTTTTCCTTTTTATCCTTTTCTCTTTTGTTATGAACTGACCTTGCCTCTCCCTACCACCTCCACCTTGACCACACTTTCTCATTTACCCTCTGGAATTCTTTTTCCTTATAACTTCTCCACCTGGCTCTCCATGTGTTCTGTCTTTGCAGGATGGTCCTCTACGTTCTGTTCTAAAGAAAACTTTAGGATTATACTATCCTTTATTACTGAGGAGACTGTTTTTCCCACATAAAAACTTGTCAGGCAAGGGAGGTATTATTCTTTCTCTCCATCATTGCACAATTTACATTGAGAAGGAGGTAAGTTAGGTTACATAATTACTTCGTAAACAGTAGACTACAACATATAGGAAGTGTAAAAACAGTTTGTTGAATTATTATTGGAATGTTAACTTGGAGGTTATCTGACTCTGCTTCTCCCCAATCTGAGTTGTCTTGACTCTGAATGCTCCTAGAAATCGGGTGCTCACTTGTGGCATAATGAAGCTATAAGTTTTTGGATTTGGATTCTGTCACAATTAGCACTGGGTATCTTAAATATTTTATCCTTTATTTCCTCTTTTAATCCTCAAACTGGCCTATGCAGTAGGCATAGAGATGTGTATCCCACCATCTCAGAATATGACTGTGATTTAACAATAAGCTCTTATTTATTTGCATGGAAGAACTGGGGGTGCAAGACAGTAGGGGTGAGAGGGTTTACCAGAGATAGAGTGGGGAGCAGAATAGGCCAACTGACAGAAATACACTGCTGAGGGTAGCAACAGGTGAGACAGGAGAGGTTTGCTGTACCCATGTGAGTTAGATCTCTGGCTGGGATGGAACACAGACAGTAGCTGTGATAACACTGAGAAAGCCATCAGGGAGGCTCCTACAATAAGCTCTTTAATGAGGTAATTAAGTCAAAATGAAATCATTGGTGTGGGCCCTAATGTAATGTGACCAGAAATAAGGACACACACATTGAGGAAATACGCTCTGAAGATACAGGGAGGAAGTGGCCACTGGCAAGCCAAGGAGAAAAGCCTCCAAAGAAACCAGCCCTGCAGACACTTTGATCTCAGACTCTGAACCTTAAGGACTATGGAAAAATTAAATTTCTGTTGCTTAGGCTACCTGTACTGTACTAAGCCAGTTTGAAACAACAGCCTACCAAATTAACATACCCTTGTTTCATATCTGAGAAAACTAAGGATCAGCAAGATCATGGGCACATTCTCATTGTTCGGGTGGGTTGATCGGGGATTAAATCCAGGTGTGGGCCCTCCCTGATGGCTCAAGGGGTTAAAGTCTCAGCACTGTGAAGCTATTGCAGCCATTACAGCACAAGTTCCATCCTCAGCCAGGATGCTGATCCATATGGCCTCAGCCGACCTCTCCTGTCTTGCTTGCTATTCTCCTCAGCAGTGTATTTCAATTATCCACTTTTCTGCTGCCTACTCTGTCTCTGGGGAATCCTTTTGCCCCCTTGCAATTCTGGCCTGTACCGCAATTCTTGTATGCATAAATAAATAAAATAAATCTTAAAATAAATCCCAGTGTGTCTAATGTCAGTGCTATGTGCTCTTCACTAATGTTATGCTGAATCCTGGCTGGATCCACTTACAGCTGCTTCTCCTTAACTTTTGGAACTACAACTGGCACCAGATCTTTGACTTTTGGGTCACAGTTGTGTTTTCAACTAATATTCTTGCTTTCTTCCCTGCTATACCATTTGTTCTAAAGGTAAAGTTCTGGGCAGAAGTGGCCTCAATCAGGTGACTTGAGTAAGGGCTTATTAAATGTAGAAAATTGTGATTGTATTTGGACTTTTCTTTTTAGGTCTCTTGGTGAACTGAAGTACAGGAAATGTGTACTTCTTCGAAGTGGCTTAAGCTCTTTTTCATCCCCAGTGGGGCAGATATCAAGTATTTAATATTGCACTTCTCTTGCTGTAACTGAGAGGCTGGGTGTTTGTTACACATTTAGGGGAAAAAAAAATAGTAGAATCACATACATGATCCATCTAGGAAGCCTGGGATGGAATCTGGGCATCCATAACCTCTCCTGTTCTTTTAACTTTTCCTTGGTGATTTTGACATGCCCATCAAAGGGAGGATCTTGATATTGGAGAATGACTGATTTCTGTTATTACTTCTAAGCCATCTGACATAGTTGCATTCTAATAAAATTGACATTTTTAAACACAACCTTTTCCATTTTAGCTTTCATTACCTACTTAAAGGTTTCTGTATTTTCTTCAATTTTTAACCTGTTTTGAGAATGGGAGGACATAAGAATCATTGACATAACATATATCTAAGCCACCAGTACAAGTTGTTCTCAGCGGTTTTTAACAGCTTCAAATTTAAGAAGCCAAAGGGAAGGGACTATCCCAAAATATTTTTGAAATTGATTTTATTCTGAGGTCAAATATTTCCCCCCACAGTTGCATTTTCCACCCAATCCTCAAGAGGGCACCAGAGTTCAGAACAGTTGGGGAGCTAAGCCCATTGGCTTGTACTTTCATAGTGCAAGTTCCTTCATAGATAAGGAAAGTTTGGCTAACAAGATTTGATTTTCATTTGTTGGAGATACTGTCATATTCTCTTTTAGAGCTCTCTACTCTTTCCTACTGCTTTTTTCATCCCTCAACTTCTATCCAAATATAAATGGCAATGCTCAGCATAGTGGATAATGATATAAAATTTAAAGGGGCCAGTTCAAAAACTCTTTGTGCACATTTATCAGTAAAAATTTGAGTTTCCATTTTCAGTTGATTGCTGTCCATTTTTGTATAAATTATGTACACATAATTTTATTAATACAGTCATAAAATGTATCCTCCAAAACCAAATCTTAAAGAATGGGCAAACAAGATACAAATAGCATTTCTATTGTTTTCTTTCTGTAGTCCAAGAAAGGACATTTTGGAAGCTACTGTTTTAGAAAACAGAGTTTTCTTGGAAAGAGATTTGAGGGGAAAAGCATAGATATTGATCTTGGTTCTTTTGGCTGCAGGCATCTTACTAACATACTAACATCAATTGTCATCTTGAAACTTTAGGGAGAGGGGTTTATTTAAACGCAGCAAGACCTGGTAGTGTGAGAGTGCCTGCATATGGATGATTCACTGTCCTGACTGCTGGCATTTCAGTGTGGAATGTACCAGACATTGTACCAGAGGCTACACCTTAAATCCCCATTTCATGAAGCTTAAATTCTAGGTCTGATTCTGCTGCACAATGTAGGTGAAGTTAGGCTAAAGCTGACTAGTAGACTTAGTGTTGCTCCTGGGCCTGTTACCAAGTTCTCTATCTAACTATCTAACACCCTCAGTTTTATTGATAATGAGTCATTGTGGGGAAGGAGGTGCAGGAAAAGACCTGTTTGAGGCATGCAAGTATTCAAAGGGAATTTGGTAGGACAGGTAAAAGTCCTTGTAATTTTATCTGGACTCTATTGAGATCCCTTCTCAACCCTCTCCCCTCCCCTCCAGATCATATAGAAATAGATTGACTTAGCCCCAAAATTCAAATGGGTACAAATCTGGCTTCATGGTGACCCAGATAATATCACATTGTCATCTATGTGGTAGCTGTCACAAACTTGAGGTACACAGGTACCCTGATACTATGATACCTTACTTCAAAATTCAGCTTCATTTTGAATCAAAAGAGAAGTAACACTAGAATAACCAAGTCATTCCATTCTAAAAAGAAGTTTGAGTTTACAGAGCTCACATAATACCACCAAAATAAACTGGGATTTCATAAGGCGAACTGGTCAAATAAATATGGTCACTGAGTGGAAAACTACAAGACAATTACCTAGTGTCACAGTTCACTATTTGTCTAAATGTCTACCCACTATTTGCCAGACTTTGCTGCCTCCCATGACTGTCTATTTAGTGTACTTGACCTTAAACAGATGCAATTTGAGCTTTTACTTTCCCAAAAGTCATCATAACTTCATCTAACAAATTATGTTGAGCTTTGGGGGGGGGGTGGGGAAATGTTGGCTATTCTTTATTTAATGCCTAATGAGATGAATCTACTCAGTGGAAGAACCAGGAGGCTATAATTCATAAAATTGTATTGCTGTCATCTGGCTGTTATAAACTGAGTCTAAAAGAATTTGGATTTCCTTACAGTAGAAGAAAATAAGCCAACTTATAATTACAACAGAAAACTACCATGAAGATACTGCCAGCATAGTCTCTAACCTGTGGAGCCTTTATGTGAAAGTGGCACTTAGCTAGAGAGTGAGTATAGAGGAAGGAGAGGTCCAGCTGGGCACAGGAGGCATTACCTGGTCTGCAAGTACAGAAATACTCTTTCTCTGTTTAAGCCAGTCTGCATGCAAGATGGCATTCACAACTTGGGGAAAAAGTGAAAGCACTTGCTGCTGACATTTGTGATGTTCAAATGACCCTTTTGCCTGTGAATTGAGATGTGTCATGTAAGATGGGCCTTTCTACCCTCCTTTGAACTTGCTTTGTCTTTCTCCATGTTTGTTTCTCTCTGCTCTTTTGTCCTTTTGGGAAGATATGCAACCTAATCTATATTCCTTTTTTAATAAGCAACTTTAAAAGTTTGATACTTAGGGCCATTGGGTAATTTTCCTTATTGTAGAAATTGGAAAATAAACTACTAGAAAAATTAAAGGAAAAAAATACAGTTAAATCTTAATTTAGATTCAACAACTTTTAAAATTTAGTTTGTGGAATTGCTGTAACTCCCCTAAATGCCTGCTCTCATTTCTGTACTTAACATGACCCACACTGGCACCGGGCCACAGACTACATATTGATTTTGATTAAAGTTCCTTTCTAGGTGGTATAGGTGCAGATTTTATATTTCTGTCATTGAAAATATTTCAGTGACTAACTATAACTGAGAACTGTTTTGCATTTGTGTGTTAAAGTGTATATGTATATGTACTTCTTCTTCTTCTTTTTTTCCATCTAGGTTTTCCTAGGACTTTAGTTCAGGCTGAAACCCTGGATAAAATCTGTGACCTGGATCTAGTGATCATTTTGAACATTCCATTTGAAACACTCAAAGATCGTCTCAGCCGGCGCTGGATTCACCCTCCCAGTGGAAGAGTATATAATCTGGACTTCAACCCACCTCATGTGCATGTAAGAATCTACAAAGTGCTTCCACAGATTGACAGGAGAGGCTAACATTTCCATTGGAATGTGGGTGAAGTATATTAGTAGGCTGTTAAAAAGAACAAACTTCCAAAGTTAACAAATACTTCAAAAAATTTCTCATTCACTAGGGGTCAAGGAATGTAAATTAAAGGTATTGTTAGTGGGGGTTCAAGAAGAAAGGGAACTCTTGACTTTAGGCATATACAAAGTATTGAGAGTTTGTAAACAGTAGTTTACATTGAATCTTTAAATATATACTAAATTGAATTCACTTGGGAGTATATGCTATGGGAATGAAAACTAGGAAGAAACAAAGCCAATTCTGAAAAACAAAATGGACACTCACATAGAAGTGGTACTTAAATAAATTTAGAGAACAGTCACATTTGGAATATTATGCAGCCAGTAAAATGAATAACACGTGGAGAGGAGTCTAGGTGTTACTGAATGAGAAAAGCAAATGGAAAAATGTCCCATTTTTGTGAAAAAGTGACCATTATTCTTTATATGTATATTTAAGTGTGGTCTCTAGCATGTAAGAACAAGGATAAAGACAAGAAGGATATATATCCTCAGGTGGCAAGGTGTTTGGAACTGGGAATCTTACTAAAGTGCTGGTGTCAAATTGGGGTCATGTGAGTAGTGGGAGTCAGGAGGTGTAGGGACTAGGGACAGAATAAAAGGGTTGCCTTTAGAAGTTTAAAATATTATACATTCTTTCTGGTAAAGACATGAGTTAGTTCAGTTTGGTCAATCTTATCTCTGGTTGTTAGGTAGTAGATATATACTTGTGTCTTTTGGGGTTGATGTTTCTGAAATAGGTTAAACTTGAATTAAACAGTTAGTTAATTAAACAGTTAGTTTAATTAACAGTTTTTCCTGCAGAAAATTACTTCAAGAGAGTAAGAATGTCTTCCCAGCTCCTGGGTATCTTTAGGGCCTGTCAAATTCCACCATATTTTACTCATTTGGTCTAAGCATTAGTCTCCTTATTGAAATCTTTTTGAAAATGCAAGTAGTTCAAGAATGTCTTTATTGGATACCTTTTTCTTTTCTATCTCAAGAGAGCAGTTACAGGGGGTGGGAAAGAAAAGAGCATTATGAAAATGCAGATGGGAACATTCGAGTTTCACATATTGATCTGCTCTTAAGACTTCATAACATTGGAGAAGCTTTAATACTGAAATGCTTTCCAAAGACTTGGCATCTCTAAAAGAATTGCAATGCTATTTAAAAGAGCTCAAAGTCTGGGCCAGCTTTTATAGCCCCTGGGGCGCAGCCCAGGAAGCAGTTGTTGGAGTTGTTGGTGTTCTGTTCTGGAAACCACTCCTGAGCTTTGCAGGTATGAGTAAAACAAAAGAGATACCTTTTCCTGTCTCCTTTTATTGTGTCAGGTTAATAGCCAGTAACACAGTTAGAGGCTACCCAGTAATGCATATGTGTAAATTATATATAGAAACCCCTGAGCTGCAGTGATTTTAGTGCATTTCTGATTTATAGTCAGTTTCTGATTATTCAGTTGAATTGCTTGAAACTTTGACAGATTGACCACCTCCCTGGTTGGATAATAGCCATGGCATGGGAGACAATTCTTATGTGTCCATTTTACTATTTTCAAACAGATATGACTATCGGGAGGTTAAAACATACTGAACATCAGGGTTTATTTTATTTTATTTAAAAAATGTTTAGATCTCAAGTACCAGTTATTTCTTTAAAATATTTTGTTATTTTCTATATTAAGAGCTCAAGCTTTAGAAAAAGAGATTATCTTAAAGGACCAGAGTGACCTTGTCTCAAGGTTGTTGGGTTATTTTGTACATATTTAATTTCTTTTTAACCTTTTTAAAAGGCAACTTGTGGAAATAATCTTTTTAATTTAAATCTAATTGAATAGTGGTTTTACCACTTAAAAAATAAATTTACTTAATTTGTCATTTATCAACAGGGACATGTTTAGAAAGATTTGAGAAGTTAATAAAATGTCAGCTCTTTTAAAATAAGGTTGACCTACAGTTAATAGTGCTCTTTCTTTTTTGATGACCTGACCATTACCATTGTCACCCAGGCTTAATTGATCACGTGGTAGGAATCATAGGTGAATCTAAGGCAGTTTTAACCTTTGGAATGTCCTAACGAATTTCTCTGGTATTTGTAGGGCATTGATGACATCACCGGTGAACCATTAATTCAGCAGGAAGATGATAAACCTGAAGCAGTTGCTGCCAGATTAAGACAGTACAAGGATGTGGCAAAGCCAGTCATTGAATTATACAAGTGAGCATGTATATCTTCACGGCAGATGGCTAGCTAGAACGGGATGGCACTTTGTGGGAGGTTTTTTCAAAGATCTAGTACACCTCTCCAGAAATCAGATTAAATGTTAGAATTGTTGTATGTGGGAGACAAGTCCAGTATTTTAATACTGAAGCTCTTATAGCATAAGGGATAAAACCAGAGCATCTCTGCTTGGTTGTAAAGTGCATCTTCATTTTTTTAAAAATTTTTATTAAATTATGGAAGTAATGGTCTACATATTGACACCTGCTGATGTAAATATATCTGGTTTAGATAAAAGACTAAAGGGGCTTTTGTCTTTCACATGTCTGAAGGGAGTTTAACAAAAGAAAGTATAACAAAAGAAAGTATAGACCACAGAATGCAAACTCAGTTGTCTGCAAGGGCTAATCAGCTATCAGGAATGAGTGTCAAACCTGGTGGGGAATGTCACAAGCTGGGCAGGTGAGTGATAGTTGGTCTAGACAGTTCCTGTGTTGCTCTAGGCAATTATCACCACAGGACCACAGGCCTAGTGTGGCCAGTGACTCCTGTTATTAAAGAAGTAAAAATCTGACTCTTCATGTGTGAAAAAAATTGCAATTTTTATATTAGCAACAAATTAAAAAATGTTAACTGCATGCAAGCCAAGCAAAGCTTGTTTATGACTACATGCAGACAACAGTTTACAACCTCCATCCACTGTGATCTCATGCAGTAGCCCTTAACTATCTAGTTAGTCAGATGTTCACAGATAATAGTGCCGTGTTCCATGACCTATTGTTGGAAGTGATAGAGTTTTAGAGTGTCAAGGTTTGTTAGTGGTTGACCTATCATAAATTTATGTTGTGGCCGATTTCTAATTGTTCTTATAATGTTATTTCTTTTAAAGGGGAGAAGAAAAAGTGTCTCCATGGCAAGCTGGCCAGAACTGCAAAAAGCTCGGGCCTTTTTTAGGTTTAGCTGGTAGGGGTGTTGACACCATTTGAAGGGGCTGTGCTGGCCTCTTAGCATTGTGTGATACAGATCACTACACCATGTTGCACCACACCCAGCATCTTTGTTGGCCCTAGTTCCATGTTAAAAGGAAACCTAAATTGCTTTTGTTTATTGGGCTTTATTTTTCAGGAGCCGAGGAGTGCTCCACCAGTTTTCTGGTACAGAGACCAACAAAATCTGGCCGTATGTTTACACACTTTTCTCAAACAAGATCACGCCTATTCAGTCCAAAGAAGCATACTGAGCCTGTCCATTGGAAGAACCAGGAAGATGCCATTCACTCAACTGTACGTGTAGTATCGGTGCCATGTCCCAATTAGAAGCTATCAATAGCTGCAATAGAGTGCAGTGATTTTTTTCTAGTTTAAATGGTGACCTGATATGAAAACTAATGAGTAGAAAGAGTTGATGAAGAAACTCTTCTCTTCTTTCAAAAGAAGGACACCTACACACATTTAAGATTTCTCTGCATGTGTGTTCAGCCCTTCATAGGAAAGCAACACTTGGCTGGATTTCAAACAACATATAACCCAAGCTGTAGCTGTCACCAAGGCATGCTTTTATCTATGTTGGGGTACCTGATTCCCCCCATTTTCCAAAGGCTATTGAACCTCAGCAACAGAAAGCTGAGAGTCCCAAGGCTGTTGCTTGGGCCTGTTCCAGTTTCTCATTATGTGTCCCCTTGGTGACCATGAGATTGAAGTCAGTTACTTCAGTGGTCGCTTCTCTGGCTATGAATGGCTGTGTCCACATTCATCTTTTCTGTATCCACAGTCCACAGAATCTCCTTTTATACATCCTGGAATGAAAAAATTTGGCTTGTAGACTGTATTTTTTTTTAAAACCTGTTTTTTCTCCCTCTAGGCTATTAAATAATGTAGTTATTGCTGAAAGAAGTTAAGAACTAAGGGGAGATATGGAATCTCTTCATGCACCAGAAACTGAGCTCTCTGGAGGGTCTCATCTTAACTGCTGGTCTGATGTGTGGTCGACGCTTTTCGTTTTTTTTTTTTTTTTTGTGGAAAAATAAAATTCTCAATGTTTTTGGTCATCCTCAAAAAAAAAAAGGAAAATTGTTACCTATACAAATATTAAAATGTCATATTTTAGACATAGAAGTAACAAGACTGAATGGAATTACTGGAGTGAAAAGATAGTTGTGCTTTCTACTCAAGAAAAAATATTTTGAAAATGCTGCTAACTATTGATGCTGAAAATGTTTATCACCTGTGAGTGACCCAAACATATTAGGGAATAGGGCCTGTGGGGTAGGGGAAATACTGTACTAACTGTGCTATGTCTGAGTATGACAGCTTTACAATTATTGGAAAATAAGATTCTTTTATCTATTCCAAAGATGCTTTCTACAGGGTGGTCATTATGTCTAAAAATTGAGATAATACTATTTGGTCACTCATTGTTATAATTATCAATAAACACTTTACTAAGAGCTTACCTAAATTCCAGACTTGGTGGCCACCTCACATAATTTTGCTTTCCTCTGGGACAGACAATGAAATTTATTCCAGTTGCCTTAAAAATATATATTCCTCTTCGTGCATCCTGACTGTCCCCAGGAAGAATTCTTTGCTCTTCCTGGAAGTAACTTCTGCCTAACCCTACATATTGGGTGAGAAAAGGAAGCTGATTTCAGTATTTTAGTGATGATGAAACACTTCTGTTTTTGAAGTTGTGCTAGTGAATCCCCAGTCAGCTCACTGGCATATGTATTCTGTACCAAATGCATTTTCCTTACAGATACTGCCCCAAATCTTGCCAGTTCTTCCTCCTTTGCCCTGCCCTTGAATGTTCTTTGACTACGTTAGTGAAAACATATAGAACATTCTCCTCTTTATCCTCTTAATCACAGCAAAATAAGATGTTTACTGTTTAGTCTTAGGCAGTTGAAATGCCCAGTCAGTTGATGACAGATCAGTGTATGGTGCTGACTTGACTTCTGAGAACTTCACAGCAGTCCTGCTTGAGTGCTAGTTGATAGGGATAGATTGAAAATCAGGTGTGTGGACACAGCTCAGGTTTTTTAGGGAGCTGGGTATAATGCTAGGAGAACACACAATTTAGAATAGCACTGTTAGGGAGACAGTTTCCATAAGCTAGGAATGTAGCAAGCTGAGGTTATGTCTGCATGATTTGAAAGGCAAAAAGGATATGGTTTTGGGGGGAAAATCTTCAGACCTCTTGGTTCTGCAGATGCTACACTTAATCACTGCCTTTTGGAATTCTGAGGGTGAGGTATGGGAAATGGCCTGATTCCAAGTCCCTGGCTAACCTCTTCATTCTTTCCTTTCTTCTCCCTTCCAGCAAAATAGTTATAGCCAACGCCAGTCACTCAGCATGTCTCATCAGTTTGCTGTTAGCCAGTACTTTGATACCAATAAAAAACAAAACACCTTTCCTGTTATCGTTGAGGATGATGCTTGTGTCATTTTCAGTGGCTTAGAAAAATCTATTTCAGGTTTTCCTCAACAAACTCCATTTTCTCTTCAATGATTTTGTTTTCTAGAAAAATTCTGATAAAAGTAAAACTAAAGGGATCTTTCATTTCTTCTAGAGCCCACGTTTCCTTCACTTAGTTATACAATGAAAATCATTTGGGTGATCTCTTAGTTTCCAGTCTGTCCTCACATTCTATGATTGTTGCCAGCTCTGAATTCATTTTGTTTTCCATTATCCTAGCAGGAGTCCCACTAACTTAGAACTCAAAACCATAGCTGTCTTTAATACCCTGTAACACAATATAGACTTAAAACCAGCACTATTCATTGGACGCTGACTAAATGATGTGCAGTTTTAGAACAGTTATAAGCATTTATTCTTTCAAACATCCTTTGAGATTGGCATGATTCCATATTTATAAACAAAGAAGGCTGGGTCAGAAACTAGAGCTTCTTGCCCAGGCGCCTGCTGCCAGTCAGCAGGGGAACCAGGATTAGCCTGACTCTTCAAGCTGTGTTTGTCTGCACGTTAACCCTCTGTGTCCTGTGCCAGGCAAGGTGCTTGCTTGTTTATCTGAGTGGCCTCACATGGAAAATAGCTGAGTTCACTGTGGTAACATCCAGCCCTGTGTGAGACTCCCTTTTCCCTTTGCATAAGCAAAAGAAGTTGCTAGAGGAGCATCTGAGCCCTTGATCCTCCTCCATAGCTATATTTTAAAATAAACTGAAAGTTCTCAAAGTACACTGGGCTTGGATTCAGAGTCATTGGTGGCGGAAGTAAGCTCTTCTCTCGGTGCACATGGTATTGCATCTGGAAAGGACATTCCCCCTTGAGTTCCACCAACTGGGGTGCTCACACATAGGCCAGAGCTCATGAGAACTTTCCAAGCACTATTCAATTTTTGCCCCCTGAGATCAGAACAGTTTGCTCCCTCTCTCCCACTTCCCAACATAATAAAAGGCTCATGAGTTGGTCCTCTGTAATAAGTGAACAAATGAGATTAAGCACCTAATCGAGGGTAAACTGTGACTTTTGCCCTGTCTCCCTAAATGAGTGCCAGTTCACGCCTGTCCACCAGGTGATGGGGGGCACTGCCGTGGTGACCATACAGTTCTGGCTACAAGTGAGGGAGATTGGCTTCCTGCCTGATCCTCTTTCCCAAGTGTATACTCCTCTCTCCCCATATTGCAAGAGTCATTCTAATGAGCTCCTGTCTCTTGCATTGGGAGGGAAGGTAAAACATAAGAATAGTCATGGGTCAGGGGAGTTTTTGGAGGTGCGGTAAATTCTTCTGCCATGTTATAAAATATGTTGACACAGGACAACTTTAAATAGAAAGACACTTGGGTAAACCCACAGATAGGGATTTTATAAAATTTGTTTTCATGGAAACCTGAGTTCAATATTAGTAACTTTACTGGTGCTTCAGGTTGAGCACATTACATGCATTGTCTAATTAAATCCTGAATTAGCCTATGTAATAGTATCTCAGTGATCTATCTTCTTTGTATTTAAAAGCTGAAATAATCCCATTTACTTAAACTTTTGTTTTCATGTACAATCAGGCATTAATCAGGATATTCAAAAGGGCCTTTGCTATACCTTTTCTTAGTTGAATTCCCCACTCCACACTCTGTTAACAGGAAAGACCATGCATTTACTCCCTCCCCCCCACCCAACCTTCACTGAACAGGAAATGGGCACTCAGGGAAGCAGGTCCCCAATGTAGGTTGTAGTTAACACATTGACTATATAGAGGCCAGAGTCTCTGTCCTCAGGCTGGGTGATGGGATCTCAGGAGGCATTTCATATCTACCTGATGAATTTCATGTATTGTCTTTCATTGAATCAACACCATCCTTTGTTGTTAGAGTTAATTTTGCCAGAAAGGTCATTCGCAAGGCAGAATTGTGTTTATAGTGTGAAGTGCTTTTTCTCTGATCCCCTCTATATGTAATCGTTCTTTTATCCACTTGGTGTCTCAAAAAAGTAACATACTTTTTTTTAAAAAAATATATAGGAATGTAGTCTGGTTGTAAATTATCATCCCTTTCCTTATATAACTGACCCAGTCTGGTTTCCAGATGAGAAATGTGCAAAGCCCAGATGTTGGGGAGCCATGAACCCCACATTTTAACACTGAAGAAAAATCTGTTTCCTGCATCTGTTGAGAAATAAATACAGTTGTTCATATATGCCATACCTTATCTTTTAACAAATAGTAGGATTCTTTGCCAAAATAAATATCATCTAAATACTTAAGGGAACTCCTGAATTTGAAGAGTGTGTGAGAGAGAGAGAGAAAGAGAAAATGAAGAGAGAAATATTTTTGAAAGGGAGAAAAGTACTGTATGCATGGAAATACATTCCTTCCTTGGTAATAACTAGGGCACACAATGTCATTCTTGAAATAAAAGGTTTCTTGCTTAAAACTTTTCAAAGGAGCGGTACACTCATTGAAGATTCTCCTAAGGTCTGATGTGTGTATGATTTGATTTTAAAAAACCTTCATTTAAAATTTTTGGCTGGAAGTTTAGAAACATACCAAATAAAAGCAAACTTCTTTTGGTATCTAATTTAGAGAAGAGTGAACAGAAGAAATAAAAACAATCTAGGTTCCAGGGAGTCAGGGTTTAAAGTGATTTTCTAGTTTTATGAGAATTTGTACTACTGATTTTTTATATTGTTGAGATGAACAGATCTTGGGAAATGTTGAGTTACAATGGCATTTCACTGTGATCCCTTTCAAGCTCATATCTGATCTACCTGATGACAACTTGTCTCTGGTTTACTGTCCTGTGAAGTGTCAGCTCTTCCTTCCCAGAATTGTGTGTTCACAATGAGTCAGTGCTTTTCTTTACTGTGAAAGCTGTCAGTCATCTTGATTTTGGTGTATACACTTAATTCAAAGTATCTAAACCTGTAGTCTAATCTGGTATGTGTTTTCCTTTTAAGTTTTTCATCGATTATTTTATCTTGCTTGAAGATTGATTCATACTTTTTAATTTGATGGAAATAAAATCTTTTTCTGCTTCTAACTAGTGAGTTCATTTAACATTGTATTTTTTTTTTTTACTCTTGACAAATATACATCCTTACAGATACTGCCATTTATGACTCTCTGCAACCATTACACTGTCAATGGTTTATCTCCAACACACAGCTGGACGTGGTTGGGGGGGGGAAGAGAGAACATAGTACTGTTCTCGATTAGAGGACAGTTGGTGTCAGAGCAAGATATAAATTTATTTTTGCACAGCAGAACCTTGGTATAGGCCGAAGAAGATTCACCAGAGGCAGAGTGGGGAGCAGAACAGGTGGATCTAGTGAAAAGTGCTGCTGAGGGGAGCAGCAGGCAAGACAGGAGAGGTCAGCTCTCCATGTGGGTCAGCTCCCTGGCCAGGAACCTAACTCAAACCCAGGCATGTTGTTGTGATGCTAAGATTTAACCCCGCGGACTAGGGAAGCTGCCCCAATTCTTAACTATTAGATCATGTTGCCACATTTTATGTACCCCAAATTCCTAACTTATCCAGCATTATATTCATCACAAATTTTTATGGACATTCTTTAATGTTCTTGAAACATGAGCAGATTTGCTTCCTATTTTTCAGATTAAGAGTATGAATCTACCTATCCTTGTCAGGGGTTAATCAGCTGAGGTAGGAACTCTGGCAGGCCCATCTGGTGAGAGCTAAAGTAATGAAGGAAAAACTTCTGCAGGAGAAACCCCCTGCTGAAAGGTGACCTGGATGTGACAGTGATTTGGTGGATAATATTGAAGTTTCTGTAGGATTTTGCATCTCTGCCCTGCTCGTTTTGTGTTTAGGCATAGGCTTTGCTTTTATGAAAATGTGAGCAGAAATGGAGTGTGCTGCTTTTGAGCAGAAGCCTTTCGAGTCAAGGTCTGGTTACAATCCTCTTCCTCCTACAGTGAGACTAAGAGTGTCTTCCTGTGTTTCTTCCAACCTGAATCCTAAAATGAAGATACAGAGCAGGAATGCAGCCAGCCCATGGGATGAGTAATACGCATGAAAAATAAATCTTTGTTTGTATAAGCCACTAAAGGTTGGTACCACAACACAATATAGCCCAAGTTGAATTTCAGAAATGGGTCCAAGACTAGTATATCATATCCAATTATTGCTTTGTTTCTCTTACCGAGCACAATTAGGGTCTGGAAATGTAAAGATGAATAATACCCAGCTCTTGCCCTTGACTTCTTCCCAGTCTTGAGGGGGTGGACATATGATTAGATAACTCCACACATAGTGGTTGGAATTAATCACTGGATTTTATTTGAGAGAACGCAAAGGGAATGACTTGTCTCAGCAAGGCAAAGCTAATATTTGAGCTGAGCAATGCCGGAAAGAGGGAGGGCCAGCAGGGGGGATGGTATGTGGGCAGATTTGTGAGCATATGTGCCCAGTGAAGGCCAGATGGAGGGCTGGAGTAAGAGAGATAAATTTGAGTTGTACTGGAAAGTTGTACTGATCTTGTATTTGTTTTTGCTAGATGGTAGAGGGTCTGCTAGAAAGTCGCTCATCCGATAGGCATTATAAAATTGTGATTTAGGTCTAAACTCAAGATGTGGTAGCAGAGCACAAGGAAGTATGATTGGATTATAAGAGAAGTAAAGTTGAATGCCTCCAGGGGAGAAGTCCGGAACAGAAACCCATGTAAGGGGAATAAGTGAGCAGTAGTAATGGCAACAGCAGTGTACATTGCCTTTTCTAAAAGGGGATTGTTCCACTCTGGCCCATTGTTAGTACAATAGCAGGCCGACCCAGTGTTATCCAGTCACCCAGTTCATTAAGCCAGACATCTATGCTTTTACTTGAAATACTATTTTTAAGTGTTAGTGATTTAAATTTAAAAAACATTGTACAAGTCAAACAGCATGTCCTTTTACCCACATAAGCAGGGAAACAGAATACTACAAACTCAAACTCATTTCATTTAAGTGGGGAAATAAATATCTGAATGGGCTATAGAGCCATGTGGACATGGAGAATTGGGAAGAATTACTTGGAAAAAAGAGAGGTTCCAAAGAGTCTATATTAGCTGTTGTTGCATTGGGCAACACCACACTGATAAACGGGAGTTGTGGAGCAGGCTACATAATGCAGGATGCTGCTCAAGAGCAAGATCCTGGCCTTTTTATTGGTAAACTAGTAATACAGCATTAATCATATGAGGAAGCAGAAGAAGGGATCAGTAGAAGAAGCAGGAAGGGTGGAACTGTACTTCTCATGTGCTGATAGCTTGGTGTCATAGATCAATCCCTAACTCCCCAGTCAGAATTTCAATCCTATCAATAAAGCATTCCACTGGTCAGCTTCTGGGGTCCCTTCTTATATATCAGTCAACAGCCCCCAACGTCCCTCCTCCACTGCGTTCCCAGTAATACCTCGTGATGTATAAGTCAAGAATAAGTGTATGTATGTGTTATTAGCCCCCTGGGTGTTCCTGGTCATACCTTTTGATGCATACCCTTCCCAGAGTGATCCAGCTTTATGCTCTTAATTGATTTGAAAGGTACCTCTTAGGGTTGGGCTCCTATGACTTGGCAATTCTGACCTTGCTTTAGGAATATGGAACTGTAGGTAACAAAATGGAGGCTGGATAGGCCGCTTCAGCAGACCCACAGCTGTAGAAATACTAAGAAGAGCCATGCTGGATTAGACCACTCATTGTAGAAGAAATGAAGGAACAGAAAAGAACAAAGGTTTAAATGATTAAGTACTGGGGAGGGTACAGCTACTGGGAGATAACAAGTGATCTTGGAAGAAGGAAGCATCTCTTGGAAATTTGGTGACAAAGACAGAAAAATGAAGAAATCGGTGAATATTAAAGGCCTTATAGGAATTAGAATTTGGTGAAATCTAAAACACTGAAACTATCATCCTCTCTACAGCCCTAAAGATGGTATTCCTTAAAGAAATTGCACTTCACTGTACCAACTGGAGAGGGCACTATTAAGCTGAAAAACTAGCAAATTGCTTAAATCCTTCAAACTCCAACTGCAGAAATACTTAGTCTAGAAAAATCCAAGGTCATAAACAGAAAAAGGCAACATCCACACAAAGTTAATATTTAAAGGGAATAAATTGAGAATCAAATTTCTTTAGCTGATGAAAACACTCAAGAACCAACCTCAACATAGAAAAAAAGCTAATAAAACTCTCTAATATAACCCAAATACTGTGAAACAAGCAACAGCAGATATGAAAGAGCACTAAAAATTGGAAATTCACAAATCTGGAAAGGAGTAGACACAAAACAATTTTTTTTAAGATTTTTTTTTTAATTTATGCATACATGAACTGGGATGTAGGCCAGAGGTACAGAGTTTGTGTGTGTGTGTGTGTGTGTGTGTGTGTGTGAGAGAGAGAGAGAGAGAGAGAGAGAGAGAGGATTCACCAGAGACAGAGTGGGGAACAAAACAGGCAGATCTACTGAAATACAATGATGAGGGAAGCAAGAAAGGCAGGAGAGGTCTGCTGCGCCATATGGGTTAGCTTCCTGGCAGAGGATTGAACTTATGCTATAGTGGCTGGTAATAACTTGAGAGTGCTGAGACTTTAACTCCTGTGCCACCAGGGAGGCCCTAAAACAAAAATATTAAAGTAAAAATTGACTGAACACAAAGTAAAGAAAAAGGATCCCTTAAATTTACAGGATCCA